TGGTGACCGGCCGCAATCAGGCAACGGCGGCCCTCTATTCAGGCATATTAGAGGGCTGCTCGCTGGAACCTCATGGGGCCCTAGTGAGGAGCGAGCAGGCCTCTAATATGCCTTAATATAGGGATGTCGCCAGAATAGGGAGCCGCAGCACGCCATGCTGGTGAGCCCGCACGGAGCCCCTACTGACCACATGGAGCATGCACTAACCACAAGGAGCGCGCACTGACCACACGGAGCCCATACTGACCTACTGGAGCATGCACTGACCGCCCAGACCCTGTACTGACCACCTAGAGCCTGCACTGACCACCCAAAGCCTGCACTGACCACCCAGAGCCCGCATTGACCACTCGGAGCCCCTAGTGACCACCTAAGAGCCCCACTGACCGACAGAGAGCCCGCACTGGCTCCCTTGGTGCCTGCACTGGCCACCTTAGAGCCTGAACAGCCCCCTAAGAGCTTTCACAGCCCCCCCTTGAAACCCCACACAGCCCTCCTGAGGCCCTGGATACATTAGGCCATGAACCTGGAGCAACACAGAGTATGTAGCTTCTTAGTATTCTGCATTGCTGTAAAAAGTAGTAGGCTTTGTGTTCCTCTATAGCTGATGGTATTTTTCTGCTGGGATTTGAAGTCCTCTATAGTTGGTGGTATTCTGCATTGCTGTATAATGTATTACTGAGATTTGTAGTCCCCTATAGTTGGTGGCATTCGGCATTGCTGTAGAATGTATTACTGGGATTTGTAGTCCTTTACAGTTGGTGGTATTCTTAGTAGCGGAACTATCGCCATAGCGACCCAGGCGGCTGCTATGGGGTCCGGGGCACAGAGGGGCAAGGATGAAGAACAAAGGGGTCTCTCTGATGCCGTGCGGGCCGCCTGAGTCGCTATAGCATTGCAGGCTGCTGGCTGTCACTGGTGGCTGTGAGGAGAAACATGCTGCTGTTCAGATCACGGACAAACCATCAGTGATCTGTGCAGCGCCGCATTTTTCCTCACAGCCCCCGCTGAGTCAGTGACAGCCAGGAGCTGCGGTGGAGGAGGCCGGCGTCGCTGGCAGAGGAGGCAGAGCAAGGCGACTGTGGAGGAGGTGGGCCCCACCGGCGACTGTGGAGGAGGAGGAGGGGTGGTGGAGGAAGCTGACTGTGGATCAGGGCTGACAGGTGTGCAGTGGTGTGACCAGCCCACCTGAGACCTTGCAGAGCCCACCATAGAGAGTCTATGGTGGGCTCTGCATCGTCACTCTCAGGTGGGCTGTGTGGGTCTCAGGTGGGCTCTGCAAGAGGCATAACTAGAAATCACAGGGCCCCATGCAAAATTTTGCTATTGGGCCCCGTGATTTCTAGTTACACCCCTGGGTATTCTGCATTGCTGTATAATGCATTACTGGGATTTGTAGTCCTCTATAGTTTGCAGTACTTTGCATTGCTATTTATTGTATTGCTGACATTTCTAGTCACTCTACAACTTGTAGTCAGTGGCAGATCTACCAGGTTCACAGCTGTAGCCAGGCACTCCAAGCTGTAGAGAGACTACAAATCACAGTCCGGACAGGAGGAGAGGGGCCCTGGTGACCGTCGAAATTTCTGTAAAAAGGCCCACCAAAATCCTCAGCACCAGGCCCGTGATCTTAATCTGGCCATAATTCCAGGGACTGGTCTAAGAAGTCCTAGACACAAATGAGCAGTTAACCCTTGCAGTGTGGGGGGTAGCCCCACTGCAAGGGTTAATAAAAAAATTCTTGAAGTTCCGCTTCAAAATATAGTGTAGTCAAAATTCTGCTGGCTCTCCCAGAGTGCAGACCTTTCGTTTGTGTTTTATTTTTCGGTTTCCCCCCGTGCTAATGCTGACTTCCGTTATGTGGGTGGCTCCTTTCTCTTAGTGTGTGCTAAGGAACACTTCTGAACTGGGGACTAGCTATGACACTTACTGTGCCTCCAAGCTGAGACAGCTTCACCTGCAAAACACCCGTCTCTGCATGCTTCTCCCCTCTATATTGATTGACAGCCACGTGTTAGTGTCCCTATATCATCAAGGATGTGACTGTACGCTTTCGCGGTAGTGCAATGCATGATGGGACATGTAGTTCCGATTACTTAGACCAGGAACATGCTCCCAAGTGTTGCAGAGCAGCAAAGAGGAGAGGTGAGGGTGCCACTTGGAAAGGTAAAAGAACATGAAGGAAATAGTATAACAGGAGACAATTTAATTTTTTTATAAAAATATATATGACAGATTCCTCCATCCAAGCTAAGAGAGTGGATGAAGATCCCGCTACATACATTGTAATCTAATAGCGGCACTCGCCACTGTCAGAATATCCAAACAGTGCTTTCAGTTGATTGGTGGCAAGCACTGTTTGGCTGATGATTTTCCAGCATGTACCTTAAGCAAAAGTCAATCTAATGATACACTTGTTGAGAGAATAGGGTCACCCACTTGAAATTCGACTGATTCCTGCTGAATTCCTGCCAGCTTCTTATTGCATGTTTTCCTATTGCAGTTTCCTTTACTTCCTAATAAACCAGTAAATGAGGGAAACTCTCTCTAACAGAGCCTCAAATAGCAGTAAAATAGGGGTATGGAGGACCAGAGCTACGAGACAAGGCTACTAAATTTAAACATGTTCACATTAGAGGTGAGGAGATTAAGGGGGGATATGATTTCCATGTACAAAATGTTTAATGGTGGTAGCAACATTAGCGATAAACTGTTTAAAATTAACTCCGTTACAAAAACTAGAGGCCATCACCTAAAATTGATGGAAAAAAAATTCCAGCACAAGGGGCGAAGGGGGTTCTTCACAGTAAGATCAGTTAGGGTCTGGAACTCACTGCCACAGGCGGTGATTTCAGCAAATAATGTGGAATTGTTCAAGAAACTTTTGGACGATTTCTTAAGGGACCGTAATATACAGGGGTACGGGTACTCCTAGAATGAGACCCTAATAGGTTGGACTTGATGGACTAATGTCTTTATTCAACCTCAAATACTATGTAACTATGTAACTATGTAAAAACCCAACAGAGGTTCTAATCCTTACCCACTCAATTCAAAACTGAAAAACAAACTTTGGCTGTACATACACTTTAAAAAACTCCGGGCAAACTTAACCAAACTTAAAACTTACCAGGATTAAGTGCTCAATTGTGTCTGCTAAAAAAAATAATTATAGAGTGTATAAGTATGATATACAGGTCTGCATAAATAAGCATTCTATTGACATACCAAAGGGTTTATATGCCTCATAACTTTTTGTCAGACTCCGCCCAGTTAATTATTGTTGCTATTTCTCATAAACACGTACAAGTAATGATGTTGTGCACATTATCCAATCAAGTCTTCATTTTGTGATACCCAAAATATTGCAGAACTATGTTTCCTGTGGGCAGTAAATCAATTAAAGCTCAAAAAAATGTTTTGTTTAAATATAACTAAATTCCAGGAACATCGTAAAAGAAGGTCGGCAAAGTCTTACAGTTATTATCTCCACAAAGCAGCCACAGCCGCAGAGTAGAGACGCCTTTCCCCTGCCAACATGCTGTAGAGAAGGACATTTGCTCTTTGTGTGGAAGCAGTGGTCTATCTGCAGAGGTCTACAGGTCTGACTCCACAAGAACCATGCCAGACCTTTGCATAGAGACTGCTGTTTCCCCACAGTGCAAGAGTCCTTCTCTGCAGCATGCTGGTAGAGGACAAGCTTTTTTTTACCCAAACTGGGGCTGATTTCTTTAGAAAATAATACTGCACTTTGCACACTATTTGTTTTGACGCACCCGGAATACATTTAGCTGATTTCAATAAAAGTTCAATTGGGTTTTAAAATTAAAATAAACGCCTCAGGGCTGAATTTGCCATTGTAGGCCTTTGCTTATAGCTGACAGAGTTAAAGCAGCAGATTGTACAGTAAATTGTAATGGGCACACATTTTCTAATTAGTAGAAATACTGTCATCTCACAACCTAATTTACACACTGTCACCAGATTCTAAAGCTGGCCATACACCTTATAACCATTGCACGACTTTCGTTGTGCGATGGTTGTAAGGTCATAAAAATTTTGTACGACCTGCCCATCTTGGACAGGCAGATCGTACTTGCGATCATCGCAAGCCCTCCCCACTGAGGGGAGGGCTTGGAGATGATTGCAATGCCGAGCGGGCAGTGTGCGCTTGTGCACACCGGCCCGTGCAGCTTTCATCTTCCGAGCATGCTACCAACTCGCCGAAAGTCGTACGATTTTCGGCAGGTTTTCCAACGTGCTAGGAAGACGAAAGTCGTGCGACCATACAGTAGTCGCACGCTGCCTAAACATCTGCCAATTATCGTACGATCGCAGGATCACCCGCGATTATCGTACGATAATCGGCAGGTGTATGGGCACCTTAAGTCAGGTTAGAACCAGGAAAACAAGAAAATATGTAAGTGGCCCGAGCAGAAGAGTGCTGCTTTGGATGCTAATAGTTTTGTACCTTCTGGCTCCAGGATGGACATTTGACCCCGAGTTGAACACCAACATCTTTGAAAGATTTGTGATTTTGTTGGATCCATTTTTTTCTAAGGGTGATAATTTGAGGAGTCATCAAATACGTAAAATGGTATATATATATATATA